ATAAGCCTTTTCATAGTTTAAGAATCGATTCCACTGCGCATGCGATTTTATCCCGAATTTCTCACCTTTTTTGTCTAAACCTTCTTTTGTTCTTAATTAAACAAAAGAAGGTGAGAAATTCGGGATAAAATCGCATGCGCAGTGGAATCGATTCTTAAACAATTAAAAGGCTTATTGGACAGGTCTTGTTGATATGGGATTAATTACGCAGCTATATAATTACTAGGTAATGGGATTTCATGCTCCCCAATCAAGAAATAATTAGACTYGAAAAATTCCTCTGACTGCCAAATTGGACTCGGCCTACGGCCTCAAACAATTTTGTCAGTCCTCGTAATTTTCCTCGTCCAATTATTTCTTAATTGGACAGCATGGAGTCCTATTACATATACTTATCTGACGGGTTATTCTCGTTAAAATTAGATAACTTTATAGAAAAGTACTAATCTATTTAGAAAGCAACGTCCATTTTGATGTGCGCTTTAGCATACTAGATACAACATCAACTAAAAGTGCTTGTTATCCTTTATAGGATTAGAAGATGATTGCTTAGGTAACGATTAATTGTACTAATCTATTTAGAAAGCAACGTCCATTTTGATGTGCGCTTTAGCATACTAGATACAACATCAACTAAACCTGCTTGTTATCCTTAGTATAATTAGTATATGACTGCTGATATAGAGTGCAAACAATTAATCACTAATTGAAACACTAATTACTAACTAGTACAAAATAGTGCTAATTAAACAACAGAAAACAATGAAATTTGCATGAAATTGTGCTATTTAGAATTACTAAAGTTTCACGGTTATATTGTTTGCACTCTAACGATTAGTACTACATTTTGATGTGTTAAGTTACTAAAGAGAGATAGATACGACATCAACAAACAAATTTAAGTTTTCTTCTTGGCAAAATAGGGGTTTGCTGGAATTCAATCAAGTGTTTCCTGATGACACGTGCCTATGGAATGTCATTGAAACGCCTTGATTGACGTCTACAAAAACCTTCGTAGTCGCAAAGACGCTTCCGCGCGTACTATTGGCCACTTTAGTAAAGAGCAAGAGACTGAGGCAAGTTTTGAATTTGAATCTCATTAGGAAAAAACCTTTTGCTAGTTTGAGAAAGCATCTCGAAAATAGTAAGTTTGGAAAATTTGAAAATGATTGGATGAAAAGAAACCAGAATTATTGACTTCCAAATGTGTCGAATAGTTACAAATGATGTAATGTAACCATGATTCTTTGTAAATTTTGCAAAGCCTCTGTTGACCTGCCAACATTGCCTTTCTAGCAGGCTTACAGTACAAACAACTTTGCAGACAATCGATGACATTAATTTGACAATCATATATATCATATACCTTTTAATTTGCTTTATGAGTTGTAAGAAGTTAATATTAAATATTCAAGTAATATTTGCGTGGTTTTAGCTACAAGTAAAATAAATGCTATGCATATTGTCTCGTAGTAGTCTTTTGCATATTTTTATATTCATCCAACTCTTCCTTTCCTTTTTTCTTTCTACTTTCCTTCCTTCCTAATGCTGACTGACATGCAATCAAGACTCATCTTGATCCTTGTCCTCTTTGAGAGCTTGGGTCTTAAAGGGGGACTTGGATGAAAACGCCCCAATTTTTCAAAGTCCGAATAATTGAAGTATTTGTGGATGCTTTGACTCAATAAGCCTGAAGCGAGATGACGTTTTACCCCCGACTCTAATACTAATAATAGTTTTAAAATTCTTTCATATTAAAATTTTTGATTCCTTAGAGAATACAAGAACAATAGTCATAATTAAAGAACAAAAGCAATATGAAAAGGATTATGGTCTAGAGACGGGGGTAAAACGTCATCTCGCTTCAGGCTTATTATGATTATGTAAACCAGATTAKTGAAAATTTTCGCCTGGGAKCCAYTTGCAGTTGAGAAATTTTGGGTCAAAAGAAAAAAAATCAATAGGGTTGAGTAAATGACGTGATTTACTCACAATTTAGATGCTAAAATAAAATTGATAATTTTTATCCGACACATTTTACTGTGAAGAAAATATGTTGCTTGGCTACTATTGGGGCCATACAGATACGTTTAACTAAGTTTAAAGTCATTTCCAATTTTTATCCATTTTCATCCAAGTGCCCCTTTAATTTCTTTCCCTGGCCAAGCCCCCTATTCAGAAGTGCCCTTGGACACCCACGTACACATGCGCAATGAATTGTCTACTTTCCTTTTTTTCTAATGCTGACCGACAATCAAGACTCATCGTGATCTTTGTCCTCTTTGGGTTCTTGGGCCTTAATTTCTTTCCCTGGCCAAGCCCCCCATCCAGAAGTGCCCTTGGACAAACAAGACGCATGCGCAATGAAGTGTCCATGTTTACAGTCAATGACGTTTTTAACGACTTTCTGACGGTACTCGAGCCAGGCTTGCGCTGACAAGTATTCCTGGTAAAGTTCATCATCACTTGGACATCTGGAATGAGAAAAAAAAAATCATTAAAATGAAAAAGTTATGTATTTATTTTAGTATATCTTCGCTTAATCTTTTGAATAAATGGTATTCATAAGATTGATATTCTGATTGATACCAAGCGATAGAACACTCTCTGGTTGATAGCACATGACGGGCAGTGGTTGCCTGTCATTGTAGGCTGGTAATGAGATTCATGAGATTCAATGAGCTGATTGATACCAAGCAATAGAATACTCTCTGGTTGATAGCACATGACGGGCAGTGGTTGCCTGTCATTGTAGGCTGGTAATGAGATTCATGAGATTCATTCAGCTGAATGATACCAAGCAATAGGATACTCTCTGGTTGATAGCACATGACGGGCAGTGTTTGTCTGTCACTGTAGGCTGGTAATGAGATTCATGAGATTCATTCAGCTGATTGATACCAAGCAATACAATACTAACCTGTGATTTTGTACAAAGTTGCACTCAAATTCCTCTAACGCTCCCGCTGGACTAAGTTGTATAATCCGTTGCTTAGGAACCTTAAGAAGCCTGACACCGGCGCTGACCAGTATGTTTCCGGGCTCTTTAAATACATTAGGGAAAACTGTTCGGAGATCCTTCGAAATGTTAAAAGATATTTCAATGATTAATAATTATATCATAATTAATATTAATTAATAATGTAAATATTATTTGGGTAAAATTCAGATTGTAATCAACTTTTAATTTTTTTCTTCCTTGTCCTTTAAATTTGTCCATTCCCTTTCTCTCCTTCCATTTCTCTCTTCCTTCATCCAGCTTTTCTTTCCATATCAATTGCAAGACGACAGACCCTTCCAGCTTCGGTTTAATGTTTCCCATTTCACACCACGTGTCATTCTCTTGATAATAAGATTCTTTGTTTGAGTTGTATCCATATTCATTTGTCTTCTCATACACAACCGTTAAACAAAGAAATGATACTCTAGGGAATGACACGTGGTCTGAAATGGATCTATTGAGCCAGTCACATTACATTTACACTTCCATTCTAAATCCACAGGAAGCCCAACATGATCTGCACAGGCTTACCCAAGCATCGTTCTTATACAGCGATCCAACACTGACGTATTCTACACCAGATTTTCCTTTCCTGGGAATGGCGGATGTGGGCCTTGGTAGAGGTAGCTTCTTGCAAAGGCTTATGGATGCTTTGGAGGCGAGAACGGCACTCAGGTCTAGCCGGCGAAGCATGTCGATTTTACCCTATGATAAGAGTCAAAAATGTCAAACAGGTTAGAATAATCAGAATATTTTGAGTATTCTTCGTTTGCAATAGACGTCATAGCCGCCATGTTGGAAGAATTTGACAAAAGATTTTTCAATGAATTCTTTTGTTATATCTTCCAACATGRCGGACATCCCTTTTGTTATTGTGCTCTCTTGGGATTGATTGCAAACCAAGAATATACATTAATTAGAATATTTCGTGAACTACTTTTTTCAAGGAATAATTTAAGTTTAGTTAAGCAATATTTGATATTTAGTTAAGTTTAGTTAAGCAATATTTGATATTTAGTTAAGTTTAGTTAAGCAATATTTGATATTTA